ATATTTCAATTTGACTATCTTTACTTTTCATTGCCAAAATTTATTTAGCTTCGCTTTGTGATAAATTTAATCTTTAACGATGATATGATTACTTTAACTTTGTTCTTTTATCGTTATCAAAATCACATATAATATTAAACATATAGTAACGAAAAATGTAAGGGAATCACCACCATTGCAATAAGACAAAAATGTTTATCTCAAAGCATATGTGATAACTTTTTAAATTAATTTATTTTTGTAAATGGGAATTAGAAAAGATTAAGTATCTATTTTGAAAGAAAGAATACATAATTGGATGAGTTTTTTGCTTACAAGTAACTATCTTCCTTAGATTGATTTTTTTTTTTGAGGAACCATTTCAACCTGATCCTTCATCTTTATTAAATCAATTCAATAACATCAATATGAGTTTAACTTTGATTCATCTAACGTATATATTTTTTAATAATAATTTAAATATCTGTCTAAAAATATAATGAAAGTTAGAGTTCATTGTATTACATATTTAAGCCCATGAATACTTAATACATAAATAGAAAAGTTATTAAATTAAGGGAAAAAACCTGTATGTATAGCATTAATGTTTTAATTAATAGAAACATAACATAAATGTATCTTATCTTCTTAATAATCAGATTCTCTTCATTATTTTTCGTATAATATTTTCGTATAATATTTTCTTTACCCTTTTTAAATTTATTAGATGTCCACCGGCACGATATACAGTAAATTCTATTAAATTATTATTTATAATTATTATAAATTAAAAATATATTTTTAAATTGAATCTAATAATTTATTTTAATAAAAATAATGATGATTAGAAAGATACATACAAAAATATCAAAGTTATCAAAAATAAAACTATTAAATCCCTTTTCATGATTATTACTTCAAATAAAAATCACATAAAAATAATTAATAAGTTAAATAAATTACTTATAAGTAATATATTTCACCTCTTAAAAATCAGTGAATTAGAAAAGAGATAGTAATATGAAGTTAAAATAAAAGAAAAACAAAAATAAAACATCATAAATGTAATAGAAAGTAATGATGAAAATTATAGATTTTAATGAAATAATTTATAACTAAAGAAAATATAATTGATTTGTAACTCTTTACAAAGTATGCTGCATAACACTAACAATTAATATATATATATATATATATATATATATATATATATATATATATATATTAGACAAATATTCAATTGTGACATCACTTATTTTATAAGAACTTTTATGTAATGGTCAATCAAATATGTAATTAGTATGGTCGGTCCAATCAATTCATATATCATTTCATACAACTTAAAGTTTCTAAATACTATTTAAAAAGAATCTTTCACTTAACACTTTTAAAGGAAATTCATGAACTAAATACATTTTTGAAACAAATTCATCAATTAAATATTCATATTATAGTGTATCCAAAATATTATTTTTAAACAGCGGCCTCAATTTTGATGTTGCATGTTTTTTAAATTTTTTTCTTCTATTTATTAATAAAAAAATTAGGTCCCTAAAATTTGAAACCTAATGCTATACTGCACATGTTAATGATTGGACCCGTGATTATATTTGATTAGTTTTTGTTTATATTTGAGATGAAAACGTTAACAAAAATATTATAATTTTAAGCAGTAAAAAAATAAGAATAATAAAAGTAACAAAAAAATTAAAGTTTTTTAAGTCACCCTCTTTTATAATTTGACTTTTTCAACAATATTCTTTTTAGGGTTAATACCTATTTTCACCCCTGACATATGGAGTGTATTTGAAAAATCCCCCTGCCAAAAAAAAAGTTCCAATTGTTACCTTGACAAATTTTAAAAGTTTCAGTTTTTACCTTGAGGATGCCACATCACCTAAAAGGCTGATGTGGCTTATATTTTTGTGGCATCCTCAAGGTAAAAACTGAAACTTTTAAAATTTGTCAAGGTAAAAACTGAAACTTTTAAAATTGGTCAAGGTTACAATTGGAACTTTTTAGGTGATGTGGCATCCTCAAGGTAAAAACTGAAACTTTTAAAATTTGTCAAGGTAACAATTTGAACTTTTTTTTTGGTAGGGGGTTTTTCAAATACACCCCATATGTCAGGGGTGAAAATAGGTATTAACCCTTCTTTTTATTATAAAAGATGTATTTTGTGATGTCAAAATTTATATTTAGAAAAAACATAATTAAAACTAAGAATAATATAATTAGTTGAAGCTAAACTTGATTATGATAACTAAATTCGTATATCTTAAAGTCAAATAAAAACACAATTAAAATATTTTTTTTATAAATTAAAACGATAATATAATTGAAAATATAAAAAATAAAAACATAAAAGTTAAGAAAGTACACAATATAATCACCATTCATATGTAAGGTCACTCACAATTATTTAAATTCTCTTTCTTTCACCAATTCTTCTTTTGCAATAAATTTATACTTAAAAAAACATAACCTAATTATGTGATAATCAATAAATTAAAAATAAAGGAAAATAAAAATAAAAAACAAAGACAAATTACAAAATATTAACAATAATGAGACAACATGATTGCAAATAAATCTTTAAATTATAAAAATGAGTAGTTTTAATTAATAATAAATAAAATAAATAATAAATATTAATAAAATAAATTATGAAGATGGCTTGTCGCAAAAAATATTTAATTTTGAAATGTTGAAATATAGTTTTTCAAATCAATAATTTTAGGAAATAAATATTAAACAAATATAAATTAAATATAGTTTTTCAAATCAACAATTTTAGGAAATAAATATTAAACAAATATAAATTAATATTAATAATTACTAAATTAATTTTAATTTTAACCTTAAGAGACTTAACAAATTTAATTATTAAAAATTTCATCTTTATTCCATTGTAAATTTCCTTTCTCATTTTTTATTTATGAAATGTTAAAATTAACTAAATCTTAAAGGTTATAACTTATAATGCTCTTATAATTTTTAAATTTTTTGAATGAATTTTTTTATTGGAGATGTGTTAGACATAAAATATTAATATATTTTGGATATTTCTTTCTCCACTTTTACACTTTTTTTTAGTTACCTCTGATAAAATGTCGCTTTTATCTTTAGAATACAGAAATGTATCTCTGAACGCATCAGAGTTCATTTTCTCTCGGGTGATTTCAAAGATGTATTTTCGAAATTATAAAATTTTATTTTTTTGGCATGTTTCAGAAATACACTTCTGAAACAATCCCTTATTTTTTTAAACAAAAATATGGTATTTTCGGATCTCTAAATCTTTGTATCCAATTTAAAAATGAAGTGAATTTGAAGATGTATTTCCGAAGATATTCAATTTTATAGAATTATGATTATTAAACTTTTGGTACCCGAAATAAACATCCAAATTTTAGGCGAATCCAACACTTTTCTAGTACTATTTTTAGATAGCAGAATAACGACTACCGAATATAATTAGGATCAAAACTAATTGTAATTCTCATATTATGTAACAATTGACTCCTAACTACTATCCATTCAAAGATCTTTAATTGATAAGAAATACATAAACATTGAATTCAAAATCATTCTTGTTATAAGTAAAACGCTACAAAGTAAGACAATTATTTAACTCAAACTCAATCACCAGGTCTATCAAGTCAAAATAAAATCCATAAAAAAAAATTAAACACCTTCTAAAAAATATATAAAATATATTACTGTTTATAACAAACTAAATGTAAGAAATAAGAGAAAAGCAAGAAAAATATGGTGTTTTCGGAAGTACACTGCCAAACATTCTCTAATTGTTTTAGTTTTTTAAAAAATATTTTTGAATTCATTCCAAAACTTAATTTTTTGAGTAATTCAGAGATGAATCTCCAAAACACCTTGATTTAGAGTGTGTTCGAAAATACATCTTCAAATGATATTTTCAGATTTTCAAAAAAAATTTCCTCATCTCTAATAAGTGTATTAAAAAATTCCCAATATTTTTTAGATGAAAAGAAGGGGGAAGCAAAGGCCCAATGGACTTGAAAACAGTCATGAAAATAGATGGGCCAAGGCCCATTTAAGCAATACAGAATGATTATAAGCCAATCATGGTCTTGTTGTGGTTGGTGAAAGGGATAAGATTTGGTAAAGTTCCGTCCAAATGGAAAAAAGAAACTCCACTCCACACAATTAATTGAAATGGTCTTGTGGTAGGTAAAAGGAAAAAGAAATAAAATACCAAAACTAAAATCTATTTATTTAGAAATAAAAATTAGAAAAACCACTAACAAATCCAATAGTTAATTAACCATTTATTTTATTAAAAACAATTTAAGTAAATCGATATTTATAATTCATCGAATCAGAGCAAACATTTTTATCTACTACTTATATTAGTATCATAAATATATTAGTGAAAATGATTTTTAATAGACAATTTTACCCATTATTTATTATCAAATATTTTAGAATTATAAAATAAGACAAATATTTTTTTATTCCGCAGACTAAGAGTTAGGTCCAACTCTTAAAAAAAAAAGGTTAAAAACTGTAGATTTAAACTCGTGCCTAATTGTGAGTTTAAAATCGTATTTTTTTTGTATTAATTTAAAATCGTATTTTCATCTACATATATAAGTTTTTATATATATAACTATCATTTAAATTGATTTAACTCAAAATAAAATATTGAATTTGGTTTGTTTGATGTTAAATCTAAGAAACAAAGTGAATTATTTTTCTAATTTTAATAAACGTCACTCTCACCACCAACTATTTTTTGCTATGATCGATGATCTATAATGCATATTCATACATTACCTACCAACCATATATATAAAATATATATTTTTTGAAGATATTAAAATTGACCATTTTGTCCCTTTACCAACCACGACCACCTCTGAACCAATTCTCATGTGGTTGGCTACAAGTCCTATATTACAACCATAATTCTTGTTCTTTCTCAAGTGAAGAAACAAACCAAACATCAACATAAATTTCATCAAATCAAAACATTCAAAATGACAATCCAAAAAACAGAAGAAATCATTTTTAGGTCTAAGCTTCCAGATATCCACATTCCCAAAAACCTTCCTCTTCATTCATATTGCTTCGAAAATCTACCAAAATATGGATCACATCCATGTCTCATCAATGCACCAACCGGCGAAATCTACACGTACCACGACGTCGAGCTATCCGCTCGACGAGTTGCGTCCGGTCTCAAAAAACTCGAGATCGGACAAGGCGATGTTATCATGGTTCTTCTCCCAAATTGTCCCGAATTCGTGTTTTCCTTCCTAGGCGCTTCTATTCGCGGCGCTATAATGACCGCCGCGAATCCTTTCTTTATGGCTGCTGAGATTGCTAAACAAGCAAAAGCTTCTAATACTAAGTTGATTGTAACACAAGGTTGTTACTATGAGAAAGTTAAGGATTTGGAAAATGTGAAGCTTGTTTTTGTGGATTCTTTACCAGAAGGAGAAAATCATATGCATTTCAGTGAATTGGTTCAGGCTCATGAGAATGAAATTGATGAGGTATTGTTATAATTGATGCAAATTTTTTAGTATTTTCTCATAATAATTGTCATAACTGAAAAAAATAATTTTATTTTAGAACATTATGATTTTCAGTTTTACTTTTATTCAGTTATACTTCATATTATATTCACCAATTTCAAATTGTTATTTTCCATCTCTTTTAGAGTTAATTTTCTAAAAGTTATTACCTTTTTTAATTTTTTTTTAAAAAATTTGTGTGAAATACTTATTATGGGGACTTTTGCAAGATAGTAAAGTATTATTTTGACCAATGAAAAAAATTAGCAAAAATAGATTTTACATTATTAGTAAAAATTGATTAAAATTAAATTTCAATTATTAAAATAATAGAAAAATAATTGTTTTTTAATAGTTTTATTTGTTTAAATATAACTCATTTTTATTTAAAAAAATATGAAAGGAGTGTTACATATAGAGTAGCAATGTAATGTCTATAGAATATATATAATAATATGATGTAGAAAAAACTGTCTAGAACTATTGGAGGCAAAGTTCTCCACACCTAATTTAGGTGGAATTAGGTGACATCATTCACAAGGTGAGTGGTATATTTGGTTCCAACTCACTACCAACTAGCACATAGTATAATAATTAAATAGTGTACTATACAATTTTATTAAAAAATCGATATGTTTAAATTAGACATCATCATTTAGTTTAAAGTTAATATCTCATAATTATGTATGAACTTTATCATTATGTGTGCCTACTAAAAAAATAAATATTATTGCACAAAAATATTTAATATGTTGAACTAATTTTTTATTTATTTAGTGTATGAAATTGGTGAGTAATTTATTTATAGAAATTTCAACAGGTAGAAGTGAACATCAACCCTGATGATGTGGTTGCTTTGCCATATTCTTCTGGAACAACAGGGTTACCTAAAGGTGTTATGCTAACACACAAAGGATTAGTGACAAGCATAGCACAACAAGTTGATGGTGAAAATCCAAATCTATATTACCACAGTGAAGATGTGATACTCTGTGTTCTTCCCATGTTTCATATCTACTCACTCAACTCTGTTTTGCTTTGTGGTTTGAGAGCCAAAGCTTCCATTCTCTTAATGCCAAAGTTTGATATTCATGCATTTTTGGAACTTGTTCATAAATACAAAGTTACCATTGCTCCTGTTGTGCCACCAATTGTTTTGGCTATTTCTAAGTCACCTGAACTTGATAGCTATGACCTTTCATCCATTAGGGTTTTGAAATCTGGTGGGGCACCTCTTGGTAAAGAACTTGAGGATACTGTCAGGGCCAAATTTCCTAAAGCCAAACTTGGACAGGTACATTTTATAATCTTTGAAGCATTAACACATACGTCAGAAATGACACTTACACGACAACAACACTAAGAATAACTTAAAAATATATATAAATTAAACATAACATACGTATAAATGTACTTTGTGTTACGAAAATTATGTAGTTAGAATTGTGATTTTAATATATTGATTTGATTGATTATAGGGATATGGAATGACTGAGGCTGGACCTGTGCTAACAATGTGTTTATCATTTGCAAAAGAGGCAATTGATGTTAAACCAGGTGCATGTGGAACCGTTGTTAGAAATGCCGAGATGAAGATTGTCAATCTAGAAAACGATTCTTCCTTGCCTCGTAATCAACCCGGTGAAATTTGCATCAGAGGTGACCAAATCATGAAAGGTACTATACTCTATAAATTTAATCATATTCCACCAAGATTATACCGAATTTTATTTTGGATCCAACAAATCTAGAATAAAATTACCTTAAATAAAAAATTATACATTCTGTAATTACTATTATATGAAAGTTTATTTTTTTTTTCTTTTTCATTAATGTATCTGATAAATAACCGGATACATCTATGAATCAAAATAGTCAAATTCACTTGTAATATTTAGTCATAGCCGTCTCTTTATTTCTTGGGTCTTTCATTTTTCAAAAGTTAGTTGATTACATTGCTTATCACATCTTTGTAAATTGATTGAAATTTTGGAGTGAGGTTAATTACTAAGTCTCAAAATATAGGTCAACCCCACCAAGAAACTATCTTAATTTTTGAAGACTTTTTTATCCCTATAAAACCAACCAACATGAGTATATAGGTCAACAGATTGCACAAGTTGGTATAGTCTTGTTTGTATACCTATTTTTCTACCTACCTTTGACTAAGGTTGAATATTTGCAATGTGTCATTAACCTTAAACATAGAAAAGTCATATGTGAAACATGTATATCAATACTGTATAGTACATATTTAAATGGTATTATTTTAACATATTGTTTGTTACATGTTGAACATCAGGTTATCTAAACGATCCAGAAGCAACATTGAGAACAATTGACAAAGAAGGTTGGTTGCATACCGGTGACATTGGATACATTGATGATGATGATGAATTGTTCATCGTTGATAGGCTTAAAGAATTGATTAAATACAAAGGTTTTCAAGTTGCTCCAGCTGAACTTGAAGCTATTATTCTCTCTCATCCTCAAATCTCTGATGTTGCTGTCGTCCCGTAAGTACTTCAGCGCTACATATTTTTTTTAATAGACAAAGTGATAATTATCATAAATTCAAACACATGATTGTAAAATCTCATATTTGAATATTTTATTTTTTTTAGAATGCAAGATGAAGCCGCTGGTGAGGTTCCAGTTGCATATGTGGTTAGATCGAACAGTGATATCGACACAACTGAGGATGAACTTAAAAAATTCGTTGCTAAACAGGTATTTTTTGGAAAAAAGAATCTTTAATTTTTCTCAAAATTTCTTTCAAAGATTTCGATATATCTAAGACTATGTATTGTTTGATATGTATTTTAGGTGGTGTTTTACAAAAGAATAAATCGAGTATTCTTTATTGATGCTATTCCCAAGTCACCTTCTGGCAAAATATTACGAAAGGATTTAAGGGCTAGGCTTGCAGCAGGGTTTGCAAATTGAAGTACAATTAATAATTTCCAATGTATTTTATAAACATGTTGGTCCAAATACAACAACTCAATTTCATACCTTATAGTTTGTTATATTAAAAACTTGTATCTTATCATCACATATCATATGATGCTTGTTTATGGTTCAACTAATGATTCAAATGTTCCTTTATTTTGGAACAATGTATTTAGTTAGAACAAAAAAGTGAAGATTCAATTCAAAGTGTTTTATTTGGAATGAAAAAGAGGTTTTGTTGCTAAGAGAATTGCATTATTGAGATTTTACAACATATGAATAGTATGAATGGTACGTGAGGTATAGGAAAAAACTAAGTTCATGGGTTTGCCATCTCTCCCTTCAATGGAAGTAAACTTTGTTTATGGGTGTTTTAGATTTAGTCCAAAATGCCGCTAACTTTGATAGACGTGTTGGAATTGTTCTTGATAAAACAAAAATTCAATTATTTCTTGATTGATTTAAAATTTGTGTTCTTCACTCTTCATTCGAGTTATTCAATCACATGCCTGGTTGCAAGATGATTCTTTTGCATAATAATTTGAAGAAAAAAATTGAAATAATATGAAAGAAGATATAATTGAGAGAGTATGAGTTATTAAAGTGAAAAGAAGAATGTATTGATCTCTCTCCTTTTCAAGTAATCTCAAACTAACTAACTTCGACATGTTGTATTTGATTCACTATAAGAAATATCATGTATAGCTCGGAGAATTTGTTAGGGATAAAACCCCTCACTAAATAAACAACTTTGTTTGGGGTTAAAACCCCCGCTTCACACGAAACAAAAAAAAAATCATACAATTATCTGGCATGGAGTAACCCCTTGCAGATATGACGGAGGAAATTTTTGAATTTTGAAATTCAACAATGCGAGGGGTCACCCACCGTAAAAGTAAATGACGCCAAAATTTTATTTTCTTCGACAGACCAAAGTCATCATTTGTGAAGAGTAACCCCTACCAAAATTTGAAGAGTACTCTCTAACAAATTTTGACTGTTAGGTAAAATTATCGTTCAATGTGTCAGGGTGATTAATGAGTGGTCAACTGTTGTCAGAAATTTGCTAGGGGCTACTCCTCGCATATTTATTTTTCTTTTTTAATGAATGCTAAATAAATGAAATTAATAATGCAAAAATAAAATAAAAGGAGTAAAAATTCAAACTCTTGACTTTTTATATGCTGATAAATGATAATGATTCAAAGGAATTTAACAATACAAGTGATAAAGTCAAAAAGTCAACTCTTGGCTTTTACTCTTTGTTCAAATGGTGATAAAATATGAAGAATCAGATTCTAAAGGATCAAACTCTTGACTCCTTCCTTCTAATTCCTATGCATGAACGACAATCAATTCTACTAAGAGCAGATTAAACAAGCCAACTCTGATTTTTCATCTACTTGGATCTCTGAGACCTGATATAATGAAATGACACTGCACTGTGACTAAAGAGTCAAATTCTTGACTTTCTGTCATGCAAATGAATTGATGTAAATGGAAAATGACACAATGATCAGATAGAAAGTAAAACTCTTGATTGTCCCTCTTGATACTTATGTATGAATGCAATGACCATGAGGCATCAAGATAATATAAAAGTGTCCACTCTGAAATCTTATCTTTTCTTAACCTTCATAGGTAAATGATGATGCAATGTAACTAAAATATTAAACTCTTGACTCTTTGTCATCAAATGAATGAACAAATTCTACCAAGACCAGAGGAAATGCCACACTCTTGAATTTTCACCCTAAGCCCTAATGAATGATTTTGACTGGTGAATGCATGATCAAATGCAATGATAATGCTATATTGATGCAGATGAAACGAAATTAAAATCTTAGGCTAAAATTTAGGATATGACATCTACCCATATTTAAATATATATGTAAACAAAAGATATGAGTAATGCCAATTTTCATGTCATCATGGTCGAAGATAATTAAATACCGATCAAATCCAAAATTTTCCCTTTAATGTAATGAAATGATATGCTATGCATATTTTTGATGGGGATATGATAGGTCAATATCAACCGAGTTAATAATACTTCAATAACTGATTCTGGACGATCATGTTCAACCGCTTTCCATTGAAGGTAGGCTCTTCTGGGATTAAAAGATCATATTCATCCGCTCCTCACTGAAGGTAGATCACAACAAACATGTAAACATATTATGCAGATATGTCGGGGATGGATTCGTAACAAAGTATCATATTTAACCGCTCCTCATCAAAGATAGATTACTCCACAAGAATCGTATCAAAATGCATTTGTTAAGGGTAAAAATCATGTCCAACCACTTACGTTATAGTTAGTTTACACTAAAGGTAGATGTGCTAACAAGGAACCATATTTAGCTGCCTCTCACTGAAAGTATAATCTCTTAGGGAAATAATGATCATGGTCAACCGCTCCTCACTAAAGGTAGATCACCACAATGATGATTATTGAGATAATTCACACTTTGTGAATCAGATGCATTGTTGTAAACTAACATGTATTCCTTAGACATTTCAAAAAATCAAAATAATGTATAGTTTTCAACAGCTTTTTGTTAATTCAATGTTTTAATGCCTTATTTTATAAAGAATAAAATAACATTTTGCAAACAAGCAGAAAAGACAAAAATTGATGAAAAAAGTTCGAATGAATGATTTTATTTGATGAGAAATATAGCTCACACATGGGATAATAATACATGAAGATGTAAATCCTTATAAGAGGATAATATAGAAAAATAAAGAAAATAAATGGCAATGAGAAATTAATTGAATTTCCATTAAAACATAACACTTGCTATTTTTTCTATGTCCTCTTATTCTCAATACTTTGCTTCTGAAGATGGCGATTAAATTGTTCCCTTCCATCTGAGTTTTGTCGTGGTGCAGACTCATGTGCTGCAGTCTTATGCCTTTTGGACATTCCCTAACTTTTTACTAGACGGCTCTTTTGAGTTTCAGTCCACTAGAAGATTTACTCTTTTTTGCTTAAGTTTCCCTTTTGGGTTTTCAAATTAACGAGCCTAATTTTTATTTATCCCCAACTTTTTCCTGAGATGCCCTTTCGGATTTTCAACTCACAGGGATACTCCTTTTTGACTAAGTCACCCTTTTAGGTTTTTACTTAGCGAGCTTTATTATCCTTCTCTTTTTCTTAGGTACAATACCTTTTGACTGCGTCTGAGTTGACTGGATGCATCAACTCCTCTCCATCCATGGTCGTAAGGACCAAAGCTCCACCCGAGAAAGCTTTCTTCATAGCAAATGACCCTTCATAGTTAGGGATTAATTTTCCACATAAATCTTTCTGGATGGATATTATCTTCTTCGACACTAAGTCACCTTCATTGAACTCTTGAGGACAAGCTTTCTTGTCAAATACTTTCTTGATCCTCTTCGGATATAGCTAACTCTGGAATACCACTGATCAAACCAACCTCAGTCAACTTCTTATGAACTTTTATCATGGAAGTTTTCATTTGTGTCACATTCTTTACCAAGCTTCCTTCTGTAGCTTCCTCTACGACATTAACAACTGGAGCACCATGACCATGAAAAATATTACTTCCCACATTCGGAATATCCACAAATGATAACATCTTCTGATCAATGAGTTCTTGTACTCTGATATTAAAGGCACAATAATTCTCGGTAGTGTGTCCTTCTGGATCGTCATGTAATGCGCACTTGGCATTTGCATCGTACAACTATGGATATTGACTTGGCATGGTTCTCATCTGTTTTAGAACCACATCTATGTCCGGGGTAAGGTATGGTAGCAACTGAGTTTAAGACATCAAAATGGGATCCATATTCAGATCATTATTCTGAAAATTAGTCCTCGGTAAATTTTGACGTTATTGTTAATTTTATTGTTGCTTCCTTTAAGGATTCTATTTAGGAGCCTGATTCTGAGCAGGAACCTGACTTGGAATGGGAGCAAGAACATCTTGATGGTAAGGAATAATAGGATACCAAACGGCTGCCACATAAGGGTACTAAAAATATGGCAATTGAGCTGGTGTCATCTAAGGTGCTTTACCCTTCTTGGACGAAACCACATTAGTCTCACCTTCCTTTTTCTTGTAACCATTGTTGAAGGAATTCTTTGCTCCAGTATGAGTGCTGGAACCTCCAGGAATATTTCCATTCTTCAGACCTTCTTTAACTCATTTACCGACTATCACCATATCAGAGAATTTGGATGACACACTACTAATCAACCTCTCATAGTATGGACCCTCCAGGGTACCCATGACGATATCAACCAATTCCTGATCCACAAGTGGTAGGTGAACTATAGAAGCCAATTCTCTCCAATGTTAAGCATGTTCTTTGAATGAGTTTTTTCCTTCTAAGCAAGGCTCTGTAATTGAGTATAGTTTGGTGTCAAGTCAGTGTTGTACTTATATTGCTTTGAGAATACTTCATCTAGCTACGTCCATGTACACACATTACTTCTCTCAAGTTTCATGTGCCATTCCAAATATGCCCCAGTCAGGCTATCTTGGAAGCAATGGATCATTAGCTTGTCATCTTGAGCATAAGCATGCATCTTACGATAATATATCTTTAAATGAATGTTAGGACAACTGAGGCCCTTATAATTCTCAAAGTCATGTACCTTAAATTTAGGAAGAATTACCACATCAGGTACCAAGAACATCTCGAGAGCGTTTATGCAAGATGCATCATGTCCTTCTATTGCCTTCAACCTCTCTGCCAAAGCACAATAAATCTGAATGACTTTATAATCTTTAGGAGCACCAAGATTGAACATATGGATAGTCTTATGAAAGTTCTACATCTCATACACATGTTGAAGCTCATCATCAAAACATAGAGGTGGAATATGGTTAGCCTTAGCAGTAGGTTTTCCTTGCACATTAGGTCCTTCGTTGATCATAAATATATGTATTGGACGAGGTTGAATAGGAGTACCCTCTGGTGGTGGAGTATAACCTGGAGGATTAGCGAAAGTGGTTTGG